TCGAGGTAAGCTGATCTCCAGCGACCTCACCAACGTTTTCCCCCACCGGATATTTTATCGTCATATGGTACGTTGACACGACCGCCTGGAAAGCGTTTAAGCTAGTCCTTCCCATGATAATGTTGTACGAGGACTCTGCTCCAACGACCACGAACCTTACCATTCGAACCTTCCTCGTCACCCCCTGCCCTAGGGCAACAGAGAGGCTTACTTCTCCCATCGGCATCACCTCGCCTCCGTTGAATCCATATAGGGCTGTGGTCACCGGCTTCAGGTCAAGGTTGAGCTCCTTATTTATCTGCACAAAACAATCATAGAACATCACATCAACCGAACTCCCCGTATCAATAAACACCCTCTTCACATCGAAACCCGCCACTTCTGCCGTTATCACCAGCGCATCATTGTGGGGCAACACTACTCCCTCGGCATCTTCTGCCCGAAAACTTATCTCCGGCATTCGAGCAGTGATCCCCACCTCCTCTCTCCTCCTCTTTATTGCTCGAACATGGCCTTTCCTCGCATTGTTCGAGTCCCCATCTGTTGGTCCCCCCGAGATCATGTAAATCGTTCCTCTCTTCACCGGGCCTTGAACTCCCTGGCCTCCTCGATCTTGACTTCCCCGTCTCCTCTTGACTCCTCGATCACCCCTTTCCTCTCGAGGATCACCATCTTCATCATCATCTCGATCACTCCGCTCCGCCGAATCCTCTCGACATTTCCCTTTATCCTTCCCCTTCGCCTTCCCTTCGCTCACGAACTCCTTCAGATACCCTGCCCTGATCAGGCGCTCGATCTCATCTTTGAGGTGTCTGCACTCCTCCGTCTTGTGCCCATAATCCTTATGGAAACGGCAATACTTGTTCGACCTGGGCTGTGTCGGCCCCTCACGCCTCGACCTCGGCCACGTCACATCCTTGTCCTCCATTTTCCTCTCAATGGCCACCAGTACCTCGCCCATCTTCGCATTAAGGGGCGTAAAGTGTTGGAACCGCTTTCCCCCCAATACTGGTCGATCCTTCCATCTGTCTTCTCGTCCTCGATCAGTCCTGCCACGCCCCTCTCTTCTAGGCGATCTCCGACCCGGTGATGCTCTTCGAGGCGAGCTTGCCCTCCCCTTCTTTGGCTCAGGCTTAGCCAAATCCTCCAACTTAGCAAACTCAGCCTCCGTTTCCTCCAAATTAATGTACTTCTTACACCTCTTCAATACGTCATCATACGTACGAGCAGGAGTTTTAGCCAAAGATGTACGACAAGGCCCCGCTCGCAAACTTCGTATCAACCCTCCAGCCTTCACCTCGTCCGAGGCCGTGGGGATCTCCAAACAGGTTTGATTGTATCGTGCGACATACTTACGCAATGATTCCTTCTCCCCTTGCCTCATAGCCATCAACGTCAGATACGTCTTTTCCTGTGCCACCGCACTCGCATACTGGGTTATCAGCTTTTCCGCGAAATCATCAAAGTCCTTGATCGATCCATGAGGGAGTTGCTGGAACCAATCGAGCGCGCCTCCCCTCAAGGTCGACAAGAATGCCCTGCAGCTAACCGAGTCAGAATAACCATGCAACACAGCCAAATTTTCAAACGCCCTTACATGCCTCGACGGGTCAGTGGTCCCATCGAACATTAAACTCATATCTCTGAAGTTTACAGGTAATGGTGCAGCCAATATATCCCTCGAGAACGGATGTCCTCGAGCACGTCTTTCAGGTCGACCATCCATCTTAGCCTGCAACTGCCTCACCTGCTCCGCGAGCCTCTCCATCTCACGGTCTCTTAGGCCTCCATCTCCTCCATAGCTCGACACGTCCTCATCCACCATCGTTGGCCCAGCAGCCACTCGCGAAAGGCTTTGAGTGACCTGCTGGACCGCCTGTGCCGCCGCGTTCGCCACCATCTGCTGCATCTCCTGCCTCGTCATCACCACCTGCTGGCCGAGACGCTGGTCCCCCGTCGGCAGCGGTGCCGCTCCTTGTACCGCCACTCCTCGCTGCAGCGTCGCGGCCAGATCTGGTTGCGGCGGCGCTGGGACCGCCACGCCTTGAGCTGGGCGGGTTTCTTGGGCCCGATTTGAACCCGCACCGGCCTCTGGTTGCACCGATGTGACTTCTACACCTTGAGGGACAGGCGTCGGAGTCACCGGTGTGAGTAAGGGTCCAGAGAAGCCCGGAGGTGGGCCTTCTCCAAACGGCCTCGTCATCGTCCACGCCTCATCGAACGATGCCTGCAAATCTCTCCTAGGAATTCCGTCCGCCATAGCTACCAAGCTGCAAAAATCTTAGCACACCACTTTTCGAACGAAAGTCCCACAGACGGCGCCAAATGGTAACGCAAAACACTCCAACCGGCTCGGAATCGGTTCGCCTCCTTCTCCCTCGCCGATAGAACGCCGCGCTCCTGCACAAAAACTCTCACACCGGAGGGGTTTTCCGGTGAAGAGCCTCCGATGCTTAAGTCAGTATATGTTCGTTCAATTTTCCCAAGTAAGTAATGGATAAATCGTAAACCCTAAAAAAGACCCACTCCCTATATATATAGGAGTGGGATACCTGCCCTAAGAGCTGCCCGGCTATTTGGTGAGCTGTCCTGCCCGCGCTGCCCATCCGTACATACACAGTACGCGTATTGTCAGAAAAGTCAGGGACGTCAGAGGTGGTTACCGCCACTTTTACTCTGCACCACTGGGTTCTCGCCACGTGTCCCCTTTTTCGCTGAGGGGAAATATTCCTTTACATAGGCCGTTGGGATTCCTGAATATCACCCACGCGCCTACTCGCGTTCAGGTCACGCTCTCGACTGTCTCCTTCCCACTACACGCTCGACATGGTCGAGCTCCCCTTTGCTAGGTCGATCCTCGACCAGCCCTGCCATTCTGCTCGATCTTTTCTGCTCTGGTCGACCATCTTTTAGCTCATGCGGTTTCCTTCCTACTCATGCCGGTTTGACCGTCGTGATAAGCCGGTCTGTCCTTTGATGATATGATATCCCATATCAAAAGCAATGAAAGAAGGATTAATATAAAAATAGTTTTGAATATTATATTAATTTGTATCTTTTTTTTAATATATAATAGTTTATGTTATACCTAAAATAATTCGACCTGGATTAGCCTATCAAACGCCAATGATGTGAACGGTGGATTTACATCGACGGTACCCCCACAGTCCTAAGTGTATAACGCCAACTAGACTCCTAAAAGGCATAAAAGCACATTGGATATGAACATCCGACGAACGTTGGTGCCATCCTCTATGTCGATCGCACTTTGAACCACATATATCATGCCAACGTCACTATGACATATATAGAAGGGCAATCTCCTCACATCGGCCACAAGTAAACGAAGCTTCATTCACGCAAATCTCAGCTGATCTAGTGTGAAAAGGGTTGCCGTCAAATACCAGTTCGCATCGCCTAAAAAATAAGCCACTAGCAGCAACAGATACGAACCTCTTTGTAGTAGGAGTTGTACTGCGAGACCGAACAACACGACATGCACGATACTCAGCTAAATTTTCTGGATGAAGTAAAACAATTCTCGGCACTATGACATGTCTCCCACAATGCTTACAAGGTTCTAAGAGCCACATCAAGGTGTACTAAAATGTTGAGAAGATTTCCTTTGAGAAGCTGAAAGGATGCTATGACGTACTAACGGATGAGCAACTGACATAAAATGGACGAGTCTCTTTAGCAATTAAATGAGATAATGCATGTGTCGTGGTTAGCTAGAAGAGTTATGAAGCAACCATGAACAAATGGACTCAAATTATGCTCTTACTCCCATGACAAATCGATATATAAAGAATTTCTCAACAAAATTATGTGTTAAACGATCCTCTTCCTTGCATCGATGTATCATAAAGATCAATGGTCACATCAAACGATTAAAAGTCAAGTAATACTCATTGATGAACATGTCATTTTGTCCAATGACATTAATTTGCTACACAAGTGTGTGCAGGATGCCCACTATCCTGAAAGTAGTGTTGTTTCCAATAGGACCACATTGCCTTGGTTGTCTAAACGAAAGGAAGACTCATAATCTTGGACTGCTTGGCACTATTGACGATGACAGCCATGATTTTTTTGTCATTAATTTGTCATCATCTTGATGTTAGTTGTATTACTATTATCGGCCTTTAGGTCGAGTTTATTGTCAATCAAGTGGAACGCTAGTTCATAAATCCACCCCAACCCCCAATACAGTTTTCACATAGAAGCCTACGTCCGTTAATTCTGACCATCAAGAGTGATAATGACAACAATCGCATTGAGTTGCGAAATGATTCAGCTATGTATGATAACAATTATGCCTTCACGACAAGCGAACAATACACGAATAGCAACATATCAAGTCAGCAACGACGAGTTGCAATAAAATATGAAAGAAATCGCTGCAATGGGCAGCGTAGGACCATATGACCTACGGGTGATGATAAAAAATAGGATTAGAATAAACAAACCCTAACCCCAACAAGTACCAAATTTAAAAAAGCCAAACCAAACACCAAAACCTCCCAAGACATAAACTAATGTCACTGATAAAAAGCCAAGCCTGTAGCCTGAAGAATTCCAAGCCGAGGTTCGCAGAAAAAAAATATATATATATATAAAAAATAAAAATAAAAATTCCAACAAGGCACGCTTCAGAGCGTTAAGAAGCCGACAGCCTTTTACAACTTGCACGAGTGTCACATACAATGTGTGACTCACACACCTATAGCTAACGATAATTTACCTGGAAGTCGACTCTAGGACGATGAGATGAATGGTGCAGATGGTGAGAATCAAATTTAACCCTATTTCTTTGACTCTAATGTCATGTTACAAACCTAGAGTTTTGAATGAATGATATCTTCATTGATAGAGATGACTCTACATATAGAGTTGGCATATGTCCTTTCGTATAGGGGTTAGGCCTATACATCGCAACAAGCCAACAACCAAGTAAACAGACATGCAGAAAAGTAAGGGAAGACTTCCAAAAAATACTTCTCGAAACTTTGAAACAGAGACGCTATAAATTTATGCCATAGAACAATTTGTGCCCGAAATTAAAATCAAGAATCATAACCAATTATGCACCCATAAGTGATAAGAAAAGCAGTTCATTTATAAGATAAACCGGCAAGGAAAACTTGCTCTGACAAAAATGGATCAAATTCTCACCCAAAACTTGGCTTGATAATAATTCCCAGAAAAGAGAAATTCCAAAGAGTTGGCATCTACTGAACGTATGTGAAGGCAAGCACTTCACTTCCTACTTCATTTTCAAATAAAAAATTAAATCGGTAAAATGGCTCCTCGTTGCCAACTTCTGAAAACTGCCGGCACGCTCTCTCATTCCAGATTAAACTTTTTGACCTTTGACCAAAAATGGCATCATGATTCGTAACGTTGTCAATTGTAAGCTTCTTAAAATATAGCAAATGCATCCAAGTGTGTCCTCTCTGGCCGTTTGCAGACTTCTTTAGCTCGGAAGACAATAAATTGCTTTTAGCCCACAATTAATTCAGAAAATACTTTATCACCATGCTGATATTTTTGTTTTGTTCTTTTCTTTTCCATTTATCTCCATTTGGCCTCTTGAAATCTCTTAGTTATAGATCTGAAGCTGCTCTGACCTTTCTCAGACCAACGAAAGGAAGCGCTTCTTTTCAAGAGATCAGCAACAAGTGGTGAACTGAAACTTGATGAATTCTCCTCTGCACACTCATCATATTCTGCAATTATTTAAAAGAAGAAAAAGGAAAATTTTCCGTTATCAGACGTACTGTGATAAGATAAAAAAAATTAAAAGGAAAAAGAACAAGGACATATGAAGTGCAGAACTAGAGAAAACGAAATCAACAAAACAAAAGGAAAAAAATAAAAATACTCTCAAATGTGTTCCAAAATTGTAGAGCGAATATTCAACAGCTGAACACTAACTTTTTATAATCAATTTTCTTAAATATTCAGGTACAGCTATGATATAGTATGTAATACTCTGCAATTTCACCCTGCCACGTTATTGTCACTCGATCAACTAAGGGAGCATAACGAGTATTCCACAACTCCGGGAAAGAAAAGAAAAATTAGTAAGTAATTTTCAGCTTAAAGTTGGAAAAAATACCAGCTCCCTTAACGGGAAAAGTTGAGTACTTCTTCCGGATAAAAGTTGAAAATCAATTCTTTTGAAGTTTTAAAACCTTCGCAATAGCAAATGTAAAATGATACAACGAAAAGTTACACGAAAACAAAATGATCCAAACAAGGAAAAAAAACTCACCAGACGATGATGGAAGCCGATATTGTCTTTTTAAGAACTTTGAGGCTTCGCTATCTTTCTTGTGGCATAGTATGCGTATTAAAGTGTGGGCATCACCTTTATACCGTTGACCACCTTTATAACTGGTCACACCAACTGAAATATGCTCACTTGATGCCATCAGCATCTGGATCAATGATTCAGTCTGGCCCAAAATTTCAGGGGAAAAAAAGAAGTAAGGTAATAAAAACACGTGTAACTTATAGCAAATACAGAAGGCGTGAACAAATTATCCTACCGGAAGGGAAAACAAGCTCAGAATTTTATTATAAGATTTTGCTTCCTTCTCGACCAATGAACGAGGAAGGCCTTCCCCTTCAGCTACAAACATATCCTAAAAGGAAAGGGACAGACAANTATGATTAATAAGACGTTAAACAGGTAAGTTCATGCATTTTTCAAGGGATATTTGGGTGTAAAGCATCACATAAATGTATGATGATAGCATTTGAAATCAAAGAATCATAACTTGAGTTAGCAATGTTAAGTACATTAAAATTCAAATTGAAGAATGAATATGAAAGTTTATATATGTCATGTAAACAAAACCTAAGCATGCACCTTACTTCTTCAAGTAATTATTTTAGTTGCTACTTGCTTAAAAGTGAATTAGTGGTAAATGTGTCCGGGTAGAACTCATCCTCAAAAGCTAGCTCAAGAGAGAGAGAGAGAGAGAGAGAGACGAAAGTCACGAAATTATAACTTTTTGCATGGATGCCACTAGTCTCACCTTTAACATATTGAAATCTTCCTCAATCAGGGTAACATCTGTATCTGAAAACGCACGTGACGGACCTCCATCAAGCAAAACCCACATAAATCCTTCCTGTTGTAATAACAGTGGTAAATTGAGAGAGGAAGAAGAGAGAGAGAGAGAGAGAGAGAGAGAGAGAGAGAGAGAGAAAGCTATATGGCTATGGATATCATGGAAAAAGTCATACCATTGCTTCCTTCCAAATGCTTGATACCACTGGATCTCTGATCGAATCATCGATCAATCTACATACATTATTGAGGACCTACAAATTTATCACAGAATGTCAGAAGAAAATTGTATAAAAAAGCATGAACCAATTTGCTTTTCTTTATCAGCATCCCCGGAAAAGCACGTGGAATTTATTGTGACAAATTACCACATGCCATCAACCATACATACGGCAGTAACACAACTATTGCTACGACATGAAACCAATGTTCTAAAAGTCGTTAGGCACTCGCTAAGTGGTGGACTGGAGCCTAGCGTCTAGGCGGGTCGTGAAAATATTAATAAATTTATTTATATTTATCATCATGCAAAATCTATAAGATATTATGCAAAATATATCAAGTAATATCAATATGGTAGAATACAAAGATTATGCAAAAATGTAATGCATCCATTCTATTGTATTAATTTTAATATGATTATTAATATCTTCTATTATATTATTAGTCTAACTTTCATGTATAAAAATGAAATAATTTAATTTTTTTTTAAATAAATTAAAAATCGTGAAGAAAAAAATATAGGGGAGCCTAGGCGCCACCTAGTCTGCCTAGACACTGCCTAATCGTCCAAGCACCTACAACGACTGGTAGTTTAGAGTAGAAGTTAAAACATAGGAATTTACACGTGTCTATCTTTGGGCAGTAATAAGAGAAATCCCAAATTAGAAAGTAGCCACAATACGATATGCCTTACTTTATCAAATTCTGGAAGTACACTGTCCAAGCGATTGCCATCGACACTGCTATGATACAAGTATGACAAGAATGAATCTCTCATATCCCAAAACACAATTCTGGTTCCTGAAAGACAATAAAAAGACACAGGTTTGAGTTTATCATCTCATTTTTTTAATGGAAATCAGGAATATGAAGCAGACATTCAGTGACTACCTGAACCTCAATTAAAGTCGAAGGTACTAAATGCAGAAAAAATAAAGCTGGATGTGTCTTTTATGCCTTAATCTTTGTAGTATGTTTTACAGCAGAAGCAACTCATAGCACATCAGAACTCACATGCAGGAAGAAAATGAAACAGCCCTTGGTTCAAACTACTATTCTCTTGAGAAAAGAAATATCGTTTACTTGCCTATAGTACAAAATAATTATCATTAATGGAAATGAGTAACAGGTCTATAAGTAGAATAAAAAATATCCTACCAAGAAAATCACTTGTCCTTCTAATGGCATCAGCAGCAGAATCCCTGATGATGTCCAGTGTTGCAACGAAAAGCTCAGAAACTGATTCACCATTCACATCTTTCGTCTCTGGTGTCTCAGGAATGTTATCTCTTGCTGAAAGTAATAAATGCAGATTAATTTAAATTCTACATTTCAAACTGCAGGAAATATCATGGTTTGTCTTTGTTGAAAATTTATTTTACTGATTGCATCCTGGGTAGAGAACTGTTAAAGAACTTACACTGCCTTTCCATTTGATATGATGCGATGGATTTCCACGACTTCCTGATGCCTTCTTCAAGTACATCAACTTGCTTTTTAATATACTGCAAAAATGTATGATTATATGAAGAATTACATGGAAAGGTAAAATTTTCTATGGAGAGACATAGCCAAGTAGATGATGGGCAAAATTTTTTATCAGCTCATAAAATATATGACGTCAATTTTTTATTCATATCTTGTTTCGGCAAAGTCAACAACTAAGCAACCCAGATGATAATGGATGAACTAAAGGTACTAAAAAATGTTCCATTTTACCCTTCACAACATGTACTTGACGTTAAATTTAGGATGCTAATGGGTTCTTGAGTTCTGCACAAGTTCCATTTAAGATATATTCCATCCAAAAACATCAAACATTGTATTTCATATAAAGTAGTTGCGCATTTGCTTTAAATTTACATATTATAGTCTTGGAAATAAATTGATTTCTTCAATGAAAAAAAAAAAAACTATGGAATAAGAATGGTAACTTCATATTACTCAGTAGGCAACATATGTAACAGGTGCAAGAACTTGTAAAGATTGATAATTTTCTAGTAACCTAAATAGTTTTAAGAGCTATTAACCATAATAAGTTATCCAGTCATGAAAGAGAGAATAAATGCCTTGAGATTATTGCAATTGAATAGGAATAGAACTGGCACGCACTTGATAAGTGTTCAGTCTGACACATAGCTTGGAAGCTGTCAATTCTTCCAAATTGCTGTATATTTCATTATCTATGACAGAACTCTCTGCCACCTTTTTCTTGAGAATAGGAAATGTCGCTTCCTTGTAACGAGTCAACGGAGGAGCAGAAGGATACAATTTATGCCTTGCAACTGCAGCACAACAGAAAACCATAGTTATTAGTAGGCAAACAAAACTTTCCTTCCAAAAAGAAACAGATATAACATAAAGTAACTCCAAGTAGGACCAACACAAAGATGAAGGATGCTTAAAATAAAAGACGGACACATCAATATAAGCTCAACTTGTTATTCACATCAAACATCTAAAGTAAAGGGTAAAATGAATTTGGTAGCAATACACTCAATTTAAACTGAACATGATACAAAACAAGTGAAGCTTATTGGACAGATGGTAAAAGCTTGAAAAAATGCCCCGAGATCCTTGCCTGACTGGCTATCCACTTTCAACAAATACGTGTTCAGGCTGTGAAAAATTATAGATAATAGAGCTTGCAAATGAGTGATGTCCATTGGGATACTCCAGTCGAAAAATTGATCCACTGTCTGCAAAGTTACAAGTTATACCCAGAGTCAATCAGGAAATTCAACAAATGATTTTTTTAAGCAATATATAAAAAGAAGACAATAAATGGTAGGTTAAAAGGAAAAACTCCTTAAGCAGTTCAGCATACCTCTTCTATGATCCTAAACACTTCAACTGCTGAAGCTGCCTGCTTTTTCTGAGCCGATAAAGGTTCCCAGTTCTGCAAATACAGGAAGAAATAATTTTAAATTGATGAGAAAATATCTGGTACTAAAATTTCTACAATTAATACTCTTTCCAAAGAAAATTGAAGCAGGCAAATAAGAATTTGTTAATGTATTGTGATGAATCGGTAACAAATTGCAGACAAACCTCAAGGTCAAAAGCACGTCCAACCCATTCTAGAATTCGTTCCTGTTGTGAAACTACCCAGTCAAGTACGACAGACTTGGAAATTTCAGCAATCTGTGGATAGAAGCAAAGAAGGATGAGGATACAGTTCATTACTTATGGCAAATGAGCTCCAAAGAGCAATATGATTAGACTAAACATCATCTTTCTAATTGCTTCAATGCCAGTTAACATCTTTATCATGTGTGTCGAATGGATTGCACAAATTGAATTCTTTCACCAACTCTTCTTTCTTATTTGAAGACTGAATGCAGCAATATCCAAGATAAGCCATCAAATAGTATGACGCATAATTTATTTAGAATTTGTGAATAGCCTTTTGATGGGAACAAGTGGTGCAGATACAGGTAGATGTCTCAGACCAAAATTTAGAAAGATTTAAATAAACATAATGCAAATGTCAATGTTTTTATAATAATTTAAAATATATATACTGGAGAGAGAGAGAGAGAGAGAGAGAGAGAGAGAGAACCGGATAACGCTCCAATTCTGGGCCATAATGCGAATGGCTTTCTTCACAAGATGATGAATAAAGTTTAATTAGCCAGTTTTCCAATGCATAAGCTGCAGGAAGCACTTTTCTGACACCCTCTGTGAGGCATGTGATATCATTGATAAATGGTGTCTAAAACAAGAAAGAAAGAAAGAAAGAACTGAATTAAAAAATAATTGATCAATTGTTCATGCAAATCTGTAGAAACAACAGCAGATGTTCAGAGAAGTCCCACCAATCTTTCACCATAAAATTGGTGCAATATTTTGGCTGAGACCATAGTACAATCAGGATTCCAACGTCGAAGAATTGGGCTAAATACAGAGAGGTCTTTCTCAGCAACTAATCTTAGTTCACTAGCAAGTACAGCCAGTGGATGTATCTTATCTTTTCCAGACCCTTTAGTTGAAAGACCGATGGCCTGAAAAATATAAGATATTGACATTGTCATCAGTAAGAATCACCGGAGTTTATCATTTCTAATTTACACTGCTGGCTCACCCTATTGCATGCAGCATCCATAGTTTTCTCTACATACAATCTGATCTTTCTAGCAGCAGCGTCATTAGGATGGCAAGATCCTGTAAACTGCCAGCCCAGGATGACAAAATGAGATATTANAAAAGAATTGTAGTAGTCAGACAAAAGCTGCAGAATTTCAAGTGACCAACATATTGGAATAATTCAGACTCCACCAGAATGTTCGTGATTTGAAAATATAATGTTTCAAGTGAATGAAATAATATGAATTCCCGCACAATCTAATCCACCAAAAAACAAAGATGACTGATGCCAGTATGTGATGATGTCTTAATAGATCCTTTTTCTAATTAAACCAGAGAACAAAATGGAAAGTGATTAATGTGAAGTTTTGGTTACCTGGATATTTCCAAGAGGAACAAAACCTTTTATCCCAGTAGACAAACCAATTGTCAACACTTTCTCGAAGAACGACGGTTTCTGAAAATTGAAGATCACCTTTCAGACAGTATTACAAAGTGGAACAATCTACAAGTCACCCAAGCAACAGAGACCAGATAATGTGTAGATAGTCGAGCCAAGGTATAAAAAGAGAAAACCTGACTGAAATGTAGATGATAATCCAGCAATTTACTGTCGCACCATGTGCTAGTTGACAAAAAAATAGATTGAAGCAAATTCAATCTATTTGCATTGCCACTAGTGGAACATGTCAAGCTGTTCATATAAGCCATTTCTTTGTCATCATGACCTCCAGCAGACAAAACCTTCTCGACTTCATGAACTGCATAGTCCAATAGTACTGCCTCTTCGGTCGCAACAAACTTGCATGAAAAAAAAAATAATGAACTGTTTGAAACTTTATAAGGAGTACCATTTTGATGATATATGAGTGAAGTGACACAGGGATCTAACGCCCGTTAAACCAATTCATCTTATGAACTTTTCACCTAAATATTTGCTTTGTATTAAAGCAGGAAACATAATATATATTTTTTATTGTATCAGAAAAGCATCATATGAGGTGGAACTGTCTCAATTTATTTTTTCTTACACGTGGACACTTATGGGAGAATGTATGCTCTTATTGCCAGTTTCAAGATTATTCCATCCCAAATTTCTCTATGGTCTTAATCATGGACATTAAATCAGAATAGTCTTGTAGAACATATAAAAATAACATAAATTTGACGGGAATGCCAAACTTTTCTGGAACAATTATCAAAATACTCTGATAACCAGGAATAATTGGCACACGAGTGAAAGGGCCGGTCAATCACTACTGAGATAAACATAAATTCAATAATTTATACCTGTTGGAAAAGCACCCAGGCAAATAATGCATGATGGAGTCTCTCTGTGATGCCCAGCACTGACCATGTCATCTTCAACAACTTCAAGATTTCTTCTGCTTCCTGAGACATATTTCAGATACTATTATGTACAAATATAGATATCATCCGTACCATTCAAACTTATTAGGAAAATAAAAATTCAGACCTCTATTAATTGGCCATCTTCCAGAATGTCGAACACACCAAAGAGTAGCTTCTCATAGAGTCTCATGTTCAAATGATAAGCAGCAGTCCAATAGTATGTTTCTCCCTCCATCATAAATTGTCCGGGCTTAGATGAAAATGCCAGAGCAACTTGTCGAATACTTAAAAGAACAGCATTTCTATCAGAAGGAGACATCTTAACATCCCATTCCTATCCATAAAGAAGAGAAATTGTTCAAGGGGTAACTCCCATTTCTGTAAGTAAACAATACAAGTTCTTCAAATACCTCTGGGTTTCTAATTTTAGCAAGGGCAGCCTTGATCATCTGTTTTTCGGTCTTCTTATGATGAGAAGAAACTAGTTCTTCCAGAAGATTTGCCTACAATATAAATTAGAGCTAAAGTCTAAATCATAAGGAGACTTGGATTTCAAACAATAGATGTCTCATGGCTCATGCAATCGATGCATAAAAGTAGAATACGCAATATTGAAATTTTTCAGTTTACTGGGACATTTCCTAGCCTTCTCATAAACTAAATATCTTTAAAACACTACGTTCTAATCAGTTCAAGCTAATACTTATAAGACCCTTCAAAACTTTCAGTTGTGTTAAATTATTGCATAACACCAAAGGGATTCAACTCCATAGAGTAAAAAATATATGAGAAATACAGAGTTTGAGTAACAAAAATGAAAAGACTAGTCTAATTATACTCAACTACAAGGTCGTACTCATACAAATCATGTTAGAATGGGTAAGCAATGACAAATAGAAGAAAATTGCTGAAAAATAAAAACAATACTAGCCAGAGATAAATTACTTGTCTGTCCTTCCAATGATGGTATGATTTCTCGTTTGGTAGATCGAATTTTGATAAACCAGTCAAAAGCACCAATGATAACTGTGGAATGTCAATTTGTCCGCAAGATCTACCCATTGCAAATTGCGTCAACCTTCGCCTAATAAATGTATCTGCAGCTTCTGAAATCTAATGCGGAGTATAGATTTATTATGTTTGGCAGGGAAGATGAAGAGGATAAAAGCTAAAAAAAGGTTGACATATAATCACGAAAGCATCCGTCTTAATAAGAATTTACAGCACAATATTGTATATGTGAACTTCACAAAATTTGAACTGATATTTCAAAAGCTGGATGTCAATAAATTGGACGTTACATCCAAACTTTGCAGTTGCCTTAAACGCAATAATTTGTGCACATCCAATATGCAGTAACAAACCTGGTTATTCTATTAATCCTAATAAGGGATATGAAAACATACATGAACATTTTCCACGGCCACTCTTTATAAAGTGTGCGTCGATGGAAGAACAAAATAACCTGCGCTGCAAGTATTTTATCCACATAAAACTATGGAGGCAAGAGCCTGATTATTGCACCATAGTATGGCGAGAACCCGACAACTACACAAACTATGAGAAGCTAACTAGGTTCATCACCAGCTCTTGGGGGAATGGTAATTGTTAATCAGGTTTTCGAATAGGGGTCCTTAGAAAACAATTGAATGCCCAAGCATTTGATTAACATAAATGAATAAGTTCGTTCAGTATGAGTTTTACAGGGATAAAAGAAAGACTGCTCAAAGTTAATAATAGCTTTCAGCAAGTGTCCTTTGGATGAAAGGGTGCACAAGGGGATATACCGGAAATGACTACTACTACTACTACTAAGTCAAATGATTATTCAAGCACGCATTCTAGGGTGAATATAATAAACACCCTAAGCTCACAGTTAATACAACATTATCCCAAACCAGCAAATTATCAGAAAATGCAGAGACTCTAAGCTTCCAATGTAAAGAAGGGACCATGAGCAGGACAACTATAACTATAACAGACAAGGGAATAAATATATCAAAAGCATATTTTGCCTATATTGTGACAAATCTAAAGACTAAGAAAAAATGGAAGGGAGCAACGTGCCTGCATTTGTACGCGAACTATATCCAGGAGCTTCAAATGTTTTTCAGTAGGTTGAGGTGGTTCAGATTCTATATGCCTTTTATCTTTTCTACTCTTTAGCCCAGCTAGAAACTTGGAACTCTTTTCCCTCTTTCTATTACCTTCAATTGTGTAGATTTCTACCCTATATGAACAAGAAGTAACAAGTTAGAAACACTGGCCATTACTAAAAGATTGGAGAGGTTTTTAATAAAAAAGATTAATAATACAAAATTGGTTATTTTCTGGGTTGGGGGATTGGGACGAAATGAGAGAGAAGAAGCAGGCACCATTAATGTACAATTTTATGTCTGCTTCAGTTCTTCAGGAAGAACCAAGTAGACAACTGTGGGTAGCAAGGAAAGTTTACCCGGAAAATAGCATACATGCAAGGAGCACTTCATAAGCAGATTCCCGTAAGTCATCATCCCGTAAACCTTCATAAATCCTAAAATGAGTATCAGTTTACTCAAAAGAATTGAAACTACGTAAAAGCCAGATCAAATATTGGGAGAAGAAACGCATAAGCTATAGAAACAGTTAATTCATTCAATAAGTCAATTCAACAAATGATACATGGCATCGATCACAAACCACAAGGTTCTTTAACGCTAGAAACATTTAAGTTCCTGTGATAATCAAAGATACACTACTTCTATTTTCCCAATAAATGATATATATTCATTCCGAAATATCTGTATCTTTAAGAATCTAATGGATAGCAACCCAATGGTCATCGACAGTTTCATAAACACTTCTGAAATTCTGAAGAACTTGTTGCGCATGTCAGTTTATCATCAAAGAGTACAAGGAACACCTGTACCTGTTTTAAGATTTGGCAATCCAACTGAAAGCATACTTCTATTGTGCACATCTTGATCTTCTACTAATTGGCGGTCAATCCTAGTTTCTTGAATGTCTCTGAATGATTCATGACCAGCTGTATACTTCAACCCCTGGGACTTGTGGGATTGAACAAAATCCCTTTGGTTCGTTGGGATTGATGGAGGAAAATGATTAGGTGGGGATCCAGCTGATTCTGGACCCGAATGAAGATAAAAACAATCTCCAGACTGCAAATGACACTGCAGAAGATAATATTGTCAGCTTCTGAAAGAAAAAAGAAAAGAAACACTGAAGCAGAAGCGAAAACTGAATCTAGCTAACCAGAGGGGGAAAAATCAAATTTGATAGATTGAAATTTCTAGAAAAAGCATGAAACTGGATAAAATCCCCGTTATAAAGTGCAGGAACACTTACCTAGGCAAACTATAGGAAGCATGACCCCATGTTATTACACACTCAACCAATGCTATTGCCCAGAAGAAATGTTTATTTAAAGTAATAAAATGTAAACAAAAACTAACATTTTATGAATACAGAAAAGTTAGATTTAAGCATTCACATGGCATATCCAATATTCTCCATGACTGATTATTTTTTATTATCAATATAACCAATGTACTAACTACAGAAGTTAATCAAGTTATCAAAGGCAATGGTATTCAACTGAAAATAAACTCTTGGGCCCTTTAAAAAGATGGACCGCTTTCATGCCCAATTTCATTTTCATATTCAGTTCTACTCAAGACTTTCGTCATACATTCTCCAGTATTAAGGATATATTACAGCACAGATTTTGGAAACATCCCACAGGGCTAGAGAAAACGCAAAATATGATACTCACAGGTCACATGGCATCGATTGCTCACAACTGGTGAGATGACACCTATTAAAATACCATCCAATTAATTTCTAGTAAGAGCGTAGAAGATTGGATATGACAAGAAATATTTAGGCTCCCTGATCCTTCACAGGCCGGATAGGTAGTGTATTATTCTGTTTCTAACTCTGTCCCTACACCAAATGTGGACACCATCTTACACACACATAAACTCTTTTAACTCTATAGGACTACTTAAGTAAAAGAAAAGTTACATATTAATGGACTCCAAAAAAACAATTCAACCTCACTAAATTAGAGACAACAGGGCGATCAAAAGAAAGAAAAAATGGATGAGAAACAAATGAATAGCAGGACAAACTATTTTTCTTTTCTCACCATTATTGGATGTGAAGACTCGTCATAATATCTCTTTGTTGCTTCAGAAACATCAAACACACGACCTGCTCAAAAACAACAATCGTCACTAGCATCAGAATTCTTAGAAACATGCTAATGATGCATAAAACATTATGTCTAGTGTTAAGTAGCCTATTTCCATTTTCACAAAGACGCGCACTTTCACAATAAGATGCCATCTTCCTATACAACAACTATTTAATCCATTTTGGAAAGTGCGATAATTTAGAGAACAAGTAGTCATTTTTGTTTCAGTAAAAATGCCGGGTCGACCCGCCTAGTCACTATATTGACTTACAGTAGCATTTCTGCTCATAAAATAATTGTAAACACTATAAACACTACTCCTGAACTACATACATTTAGAAAAGAAGGAACATACTAGTAACATATCAGCACAAATAAGTTCAAGTTAAAAATCATTCGGTTACCCCAACTAACCAAGAAGCTAAGAACACCACTATATACATTTCTTTGTTTTCTACAAAGAAATCCCACAAAATATATATATATATATATATATATATATTCTCTTCAGGTCAAAACCGACCCCATAGCTCTTCAACGGATATTCTTAGTAAAACGAAGTTATTCAATTATCATCACACTTCAGCTATACAAATTAATTAGAATAGTAGAAGTAGTATTGCTTCCTGCAAATTGCGCTCCTTTACATTTTCGATAGACAATCTGAAGTAATAGGAACTGAAAGAAAATCTACACAGACATGAACACATAAACTTACCGGATTGAATGCATTCAAGAAGGTAATCGGCGCTGAGAGAATCAAAATTGATGTTGGAAAAGGAGGTCGTGGGCCCCGCCGGAGTTTTGATCCCGCTGACCAGGGTCGACGACAGCAGGAACTCGAGGAGCTTCCGGCGATCGCTTCGGTACCGGCGCAGCAGGGGGCTCGGAGACTCCATCATAAAAATTCAATCTTTTGCGCAGAAAAAAAAGACGAGCTGAGCTCCTCCTTTCCTCGGAGTGAAGTGGGAACAATGGAGAATGAGAAATGGAGTTGTGCTATTTTTCTACGGGGACCAGAAAGACTGCTTTTCGAGGAGCGCGAAAAAAGCCGACGGCATGAAGACTAACGCCGATTCACTTTGTTCTTTTTTCCGTCACTTTTTCGCTTTCTCTTTGATTACCATTTCATGTCGTTGGGCCTTAGACGGTAATCAATTGATGTTGGATACATTCCACAAATTATTTATTTTAATTTTGAGATGTTAAAAAAAAAATGAGTCCTTTAATAATATATGATATTAACTCATTTTGTAATCAGTCGAGTCCGGCTCTGTTGCATTAAAACTCGAGCTCATTTCGAATTGTTTATACCTGTAATTTGTTAAGATTGTCTAAAAATTTATATATTTTTTATGATGAAATTTAAATATATAAGGTGAAAACACTCAAGTTTAAAACGTTTTAGTTGTGGTTTTTTTGGTAAAGTAATATATGTTTTGTATATAACAACTTTTGTATAGTTATAGTGAATAGAATTTAGGGTTAGTCTCAGTGTTTTGAGACCCGGACCGGCCCGGCGGGTCGACTCGGGACCCGGTCGACCCAGAGCCGGAACTGGTCCGGGTGGAGTATTTGGACCGGGCAACCAAGGACCCGGTCAAACCCGGTCAAAATTCGGCCGACCCGGCAGAGACCCGGCTGACCCGAGGCATTGACCCGGCCGGGTCAACCCGGTTGACCCGGTCCATATATATTTTTTATATTTTTTTTATTTTTTTTGTTTTTCTTAAAAATAAAAATATGTATATATGTTTATATGATAAATATTTATCATGAGATACATATTATTAACACTTTAATATACAAATTTTATACACAACACATTTAATTTTGTTATTTTTATGTATATTTATATAACAAAAATACTCTATATATAATTTTAAAAATTTTAAAATTAATTATCCGGTCCAGCAATTGACCCGATGACCCGACGGTTGACCCGGTGACCCGAGAACCTGTCCGGGTTGATCACCGGGCTGGGTTTAAAAACTATGGTTAGTCTAAAATTAGTATAATGTTATCAAACTTATATACTTTTAAGCTTAAAAATATAATTTATTGTTTTCTTTTTATTTGTAGTGTTTCCAACATTATTAGATTTATAGTTCCGCAAAAAAAAAAATGTAGCTTAATTTTACGTGGAGTCATTCTTAATATTTTTTTATTGCTTTGAAATATATATATTTTTATATGGTGTCACCTTTTTCATTAATGTAATTAATGTAATGGTTACAATTTTATAAAACATACCACTAGATAATTTTTTCAAAATATTATTTTTTTATGCTTACAAATTATATATTACTTTTTATGCTTACAAATTATATTCTTTTATTACTTAATGTGCATGAGTAATGGATTATTAATGAGAAAATAATAAGAATTTAATAAAACTAGTTTTTGTCCCGTGCATTTGCACGGAAAACTATATGATACATGAAAAAATAATAAAAATTATAAACAATAGTAAAAATTATAACAAATTCATTGAAAAAAATTAAGAAAAAAAATATAAATATTCTTAAACACTTCTTTATAAAACAACGTCGTGGTTTTTCTATCGTCGAAATCTCCCTCAGCTCAAATCAAAATCTTTGAAACCCCACTGACTCGTAACTCTAAAAAACGCCACGTATAATTGCTCATGACTAAATGCAGAGCTCTTCAGTAGTAAGCCGACGTTCGACAGAGACTGTCTTTGACTCTTATTGATCATGTCATAACATAGGAAACACTTTTTTATATTGTTTGTCCTCGACTCTTATTGATTGATAGAGATTGTCCTTGCTTCTTAATAAAAAAATACCATCTAAATATAAATGAGTAAATATAATATTAATTTTTTATATAAACAAAAAATTTAAAGTAATTGATAATGAGTATAGAATTACCCTTGCGGATTCAAGTTATTTCAACGATGTTCTTTTTATATATCTAAGATTTAATTTTTCTCTGATTTATATGAATATAAGCACATTTGACTAATTTTTATAAATTTTATTGAAAAAAGTTACTATTTTTTTTTAAAACTGATAAGATATTAAGATAATACTGTACTTAACATAAATGTAGGATTAATTAAAATAAATCTTTTTAATTTAGTCATTAATTAATTAAATTTAACTATAAACAATCTTCTTAAATGTGAGATTAATGAGTAATTAATTAAAAAAATGTAACTCCTTTTGGAGGGAAAGTGAAAATATTTTTATTAAATGTTTTATTAAATGAGATTAGCTAGCAATTATATATATATAGATTTCGAAACAGTAATTATCTCAACTTTTGGAATTGTAATTTGATAATTATAATTAATTGTTTTAGTTGATCTTTAATTTTGTTATTTTTGCAGGAATTGACCGGAGATGGAGCATCTGATTTTTTATTTTATTTTAAATGTATTTTTTTGGTTAGTTGTATTTGTTAATAATTAATTTTTTATTTATTTTCATTAATTTCGTTTAGTTTACTATGCATAGAAAAAATAATTTCGATTAAAAAAATAATTAATGAGAACTGTTGAGAGTAATTAATATGTTTAAAAAAATATGGAAACATTTTCATTTTCATTAACTCGTTATAATTGCAGAATTAATTGGTTGTCATTTTTAAAACACTCAACTTTTCAAGAAAATTGAGTTGTTTTTAATAAAGAAAATAAAAAATAAAAACAAATGAAAAGTAACGGAAATTGGCGGGAAAATGCCACCTAGGTATAATTTATGAGGTTTAATTAAATGCAGAAGAGCTAGTAATTATATATATATAGATATAGATGTTAAGTTTTTGAGTGTTCATAACCTTCTTTTTAGATAAATAATTAATAGATGTTAAGTTTTTGAGTGTTCATAACCTTCTTTTTAGATAAATAATTATTACTTGAGCTAGTGGAATCTGATAATAAACTTTCTTTCTTTTTTCCACGAGAGTATGATTGTAATTATGGAATTGACATTTTCAAATGTGTAAAGTGAACAAGATTTCTTTTTTNAAAATGAGGTCCATATTTCAAAGAGAAATCGTCTACGCAATGAAAAGCAGCGGATTACATAAAAAGGGAAAAACGTCCGTTTTGAAGGCCCAAATTAAACTTACGGGCCGAACTCGGGCCACGCTTCTAACCAAAAGGCCCAGTCTCGGGCGACTGGCGAGCTTCACGTCTCTTTGACTATGGACTTTTTTTCATTTGCACAGATGAAAGGGATTGATATTTCAATTTGTAAAAACAGCCGGTAACTTTAGTTGACTTTGTGGGTTATTTAGGTTATTAAATCATTACCATTTTTTTTTTTTTTCCATTAAATCATTACCATTCACATATCAAAACATAAATTGTCTTAGTCATTCAAAAAATTAGAATAAATGTGAGTAAGTCAATACATTTGTATAGGTTTATAATTAGGGGTATTCATTGAAGAACTCGCAAAACGACCAAATTTTTGTCAAAAAAAACATATATAAAATGAATTGAAAGAGTTGTTTAAATCGGTCGATTGACTTTATTTATGAATATATGATACATATTTAATGTAATTCTTTCAGTACGATTCAATTTGAAAAAGTATAAATAAATCAAAACCAAAATGATTGAATTTTCCACATTCAAATTTATATTTCAATTTGTTATTTCAATGATAGTTGAAGTTTGTACACCTTATATTAATAACCACAATCAGCTTGTAAAATCTTTTCGCCAAAACACAATAATATTTAATGATTTATATTTGGCATGAAAGAGTCCATCGGGACATAATTTTTTATGCATTTTATTTTTAGAACATCTTTATTTAATATTGTTTATTCTCAATTTTTTGTGTGAGGCAATTTTTATTTTGTTTTATAGAGTATGATATTTAAGTATGATAGTATATATATCTATTGAAAAAATATTTAACTAATCATTAGGTCCACCTAATACAACCCTATGGGATGTAAAATATATCTCTTCTCGCCATCCCTATAGTGTGTGAGACAAATAGATCTTACTGCGTTTATCTTGCACTTTATTACACCTCTTTCATATTTACATATTTCTCACACGTTTTTATATTGGTAAATTAATATGTAACCAATTAATCCATCAAATAATATTGTTGCAGTAATTACAAAGAACAAATTGGGAAGATACAGTATAAATAAGTAATAAATAATTTTAACATAACAAATATTTAATATACTAATTAGGAGAATCAAATAAATAAAAGTATTTTAATCAGAGATATCAAATCAAAAGATTGTACGATAAACATGAGTTTGGATCTTACGAATCATTGGATTCGGAGGTTGAAATTCATTTTTCAAAATTAACATATTTATCGCATTCCAAATGAAGTAAACGGTTGTCGCGAATGCCGCTTTCTTCAACTTGGTTTACCAACTAACCTATCGAGCCTCCTTCGTAATCCATTTAAGAGCCCCTTTAAGTGTTAATGGCCTATGACGGAAGTTAACCCAAGCACGAATCACCTGTTGGGTTCGATAGTACCGTACGGGCTTTACGCAGCGGAATTTAAAATTTTTAAAGTAAGTATTTATCGTATAAATACAACACCCGTACATACTAATTGCGAATTAACTGATCGTCATCTTTAAAACATGCATCATATACAAATTTTGATTTGTTACTATAAAGTAAATACTAGTAAAAATATTTACCGAATTTCTTGAACTCCTTCACTATTGATGATGGATGAGGGAATCGGTTCCCGGTTGTAACTTCAACGACTTGAGGTTACTCGCTAGAGGAATCCAAGTGTCTTCCCTCTAAACGTATCCACCCTATGAAGCCCGGTTCCGACGACTTTCCTTCGCTAGTAGAAAAGACTCGGTTTTCTTGTATAGGAATATTTATGAATTTTATTTGGGAATTTTAAGAACTCTTTCTTGAAGTTTTATGAAGAACACTTTCTTCTCTTTCTAACACTTAGAAATTTAGGATCAAAAACTTCACTTAAATGCAAAACCATTTTGCATATATTTATACTAAACATTTTAGCATAAAATAATCAACATTTAGTAATATTAAATAAAATCAAATTTTATTTAAATAGTATTTACTAACTTTTGACTTTGAAAATAATAAGATATGTTAAGTAGTTCAAACAACCATCAACAACCATTTTATTATAATCATATTTATTATTTTAATCCTTAAATCATATTTAAAGATATAAATAATAATTGGATAATAAATCTTGAG